TTGAAGCGCACATGGACGTTTTTGACCAGAACTACTTTCGACATTGTTTGCAGGCTGCGGCGTGGCGAGGCATGACGCCATGTGCAGATATTCGTATGGTCGCGCCGCGCCGAGAGCCTGAGAATTTCTACGCGTGCGAGAGGTCTGCAGAATATTGCTCCCTTGTCTGATTTCTTGAAGAAACATAACTCGGTTGATTTTAAATCCCATAACCCCTCCCCCCTATTGAATTCCATATCTGCCGTCGCCCGTCGTGCGTCGCCCGTCGTGCATCGCCCATCAAATGGGTTGCATAGGACCTGCAAAAGCCGGGGTTTAACAAATGACAATGTGATGATTCCATTCACTTCTAAGGACCTTTCCTAATAAGGCAAGTAAGTACAAATTCCACCTGCAATACTAGTCCCGTAATTAATGCCAATAATGTTAGCCTATCGCTGCCCCTTGACAATAAAATGTCGCCTTTCTGAGAATTCAACCAAGTGTTTTTTGGGAAAAAAATTTTTAAGCAAAAATGTTCAGGCCAACTTATCCACAGTCTAATTCGTTTTGTTTTGATCAAATTCTAGAAAGAAATCTGCCAACCGATACAGATATTCCATTTTGTCCTCTCAATTTCACCTTGAAATACAGAAATACTAGACGGTGCTGTGGATAAAAACTGTTTATAAAATGTATTGTTAGGGGGCAATTACCACTTGGTTTAAGTTTCAGAAAATGTGACGTGTTGGTTTTTGTGGGTGTGTATGCCATGGTGGATAGACCAAGGAGAACAGATTGTCCAGCATATCAGCATTATTTATGGGGCTAACAAGTAACGTTACTGTTTAAAAGACCCGGGCGGATTGGTATTTCGCCCAGGCGACATACCAATCCGTCCGGGCGAAGTAGCATGTCCATTTTTTCAGTCATGTCCTATATACGCTTCCGTACTTGGCACTATCTGACTTCACGGACGTGTATAATAATTTTTTTATATACGTCCGTGTCTGACTTCCGTAGATAATGCTTTGTGTGATGTACGGTGAATATGAACCTGTGAATTGACACCGCGGTTACACTTGAGTCAGGATGGAGTTTCATGGTGCATGATACACAGGGCGTTCTATCCGTAAATCGGAACAAAGTTGAAAAAGATAACACTGACGGAACGCTGGCCCGAAATTACCCGAATGCGAGTCAACAGATCAATTTTTTTCCTTTTCTTTCAACGAGAAGTGAATTTCGATTTTTAATAATTTACCTTGACCCACCCGCCCAATATTTCGAAAAAAAAATCGAAATTAAAAACATCGAACATTTTGAATTGCCTCTTAAAATGTAATAAATTTTGACCGACATTACAGGCTTTAGTATAGTACGCCTGAGGACGACAGTTTCCCACGCCCGGGAGTCGCGTGCTTGAATTTAGCATCAGTGAACCACCTTTGCGTTATTATTCATAGTAAAACTAAATCACTGGAAGAGGATAAAAAATCTCGTTCGCACATTACCGGTAAGTTTGGCACCTGGACTGAATGTCCAGGGGCAGGTCACTTGTATTGCGGGTTACTTCTGTCGTTTCAACAGTATTAACTCCGGGATGCGAAGCGTACAAAGGCGTATCCCGAATTCTCCGCAACCACTCTGTTGTCAATATTGTCAATCGGCCATACAATATCTCTATTCTTCATTAAAACCCTGCGGAGAGGGCATGAGGGTCCATTTTGGATGCCGATTTTACTACGTACTTGATTTAAAATATTTTACGGGCAACTGCAATGATCTCCCATCATATAATATCTATGTTCATGCTGAACAGCCTGGTTTAGTCACTGTAAACGAAGGGGCTTCTCTTTCGGCAGAAAAAAAAAAAATTCGGGCCGGGGTCTAGAATATGAACAAACATCTAACAGATGGCAGTCATCAAATATTGTTCACACAAGTGCTGCCTGGCTTTCCTAAGCCCTGCTTTATCAATGTCAATGACCCATAAACGACCCTATAGAGGCTGTTGGGCCTCTTTAAAGCTTTCTGGCTCTCCAGAAGGCACGTGCCTGGGTGATTCTAGATATGCCTTGGCAGTAGAGCAGGGTATAAGCCTAAGGCTATAAAATATGTGGCTTGTCACTAACAGAACTGCAGTTGGGCACAAGCTTACTACCTTTTCCTGTGGTTTCAGGCTCTGCGGATTTATGGTTTGAGGGCGCAAGAGACATCCATGTACAAATTTAAAAGCATTTAGAACAAAATCTACGTTCAAAAGTTAATAATAACGGGTTTATTATACCGGCGTCCAAAAATGACACCGCGCGCGAGTTAATAAAAAAAAGCAACTGTTCCACCGGATTTAATTAACCCTAACTCCCTCAAACGTTCTTTTGTGGTGAGTTTTCAAAAATCCTCCAAATCCTTCACAGGGAATAACCCCTACAACCTAACATTCTTTCAAACTTTCAAAAGGCACCAAGCCAATCGGATGGCTTTTAAAATGCTGTCTTACACACCTTTATTCTAAAGAGACAAGTCTGGAAGACGGGGATCACTGTTCTGAGGTGAGATGTTTATTACCAAAGACGTGCATGCGTCCAGACATGATTCAGTCATTCAATGCCTTTCCAATAATAACAGTAACCCACTAAACGAAAATCCACGTTATGCATAATCCGGCTGATCACGTGCTGTTATAAATATTGTAAATAGCGATCATGTATAAAACATTTTACCTGCGGTATCCCTAGCCATACTCGTTGATGATTACTCTACAGTGTGTTTACATACCACCAATAAAAGCCGCTCCAATAAAACTACCTTGTTATTCTACGCACAGAGAACAAACAGACAGCGCAACTGGGCTGACACATCGTACCGAGAAGTCAGTTTTTGTGCGATCATCATCAAGTAAGATCACGGACACAGCGGCCGAGATGGAGAACACCTCCTGGAATTCGGTGTCGGACTTTCCGTTAATGGGAACAACGGCTCCAATGCCCCGGGGTCCGCCTCCTATGCCTCCGTTCTTAGACTATGGCCTGGCATTTTTTCTCTTCGTGGCATTTGTTTTCGGTATTGCTGGCAACGGTGTTACCCTCTGGATTTTTGTCAGGTGAGAAAATTAATCAATATCATTCTCAAATCCTTGGGCTATACATGAATGAAAAACTAAAACGTTGTTGTATTGTAATTATAATTTTGGGCAGTTTTCCAAGGGCTGGCACGTTCCATGGTCTACGTAGTGCGCCATGGTGGGATTTTCAGACCTATCGGTGGAAATTTACGTTTAATTTGAAAAACGTCTCGAAAACTTTTCCATACCGTTTAACCGTTTAAAACTTTTACAGATGCTGCCGCTGCCTACCTCAGTATTTTCATATAGTTCAACAATGCACATAATCCAACCATTGTAAAAATTAATGTAAATTAATGTTGAGGAATTTAAAACAAGTGATATTTATTGTTTTAGAATCCATATTTTTTTCAAAACGTACACAGATGCCAAAATGAAAAGTGTACTGAAAACCTGATTACATTTGACAGGCATCGTTTACAATAAAATGAACTCCAAATTACGTCACTGAATAAAAACGCCAACCTCTAGAAGGGGCAGTTCCATTTAAACGTTTGGGAAAATCTATAACGGATTTGGAACTTGTTTCGTTTACGCGTTCAAACGTCCCACCCTTGGTGAAAATTGATTTTTCCAAAAATATTCACAAAACATTCTTTAGAAAACAGCAAAACTGCACAAGTCATCAAATATAAAACGTACTCAATAAAAATGTGAAACAACAATTGAAAAACTTCAGCATAATTGTGTGTGCTTCATCCTCCTTAGAGGTTTTCCGACAGAATGCAAAAGATTCAGAATTACGGTTAGAATTCTTTCAACAAATGGAGTTACCTTTCAAAAGCTTGTTCCGACTGTGATTTAAAAACATCAAAATTTATTACCGATTCTTCGATTTAACAAAAATTATCGACAGAAAACTCTCCTCTTCGTGAGCAGGATGACCAGGCTATGGAATCCTTGACCTTGGAAGACTTGATCCAAAGACTATGGGGTTCAGACCTCTGGGAGTTTGTATCAATCCCCTTCACCATCCCCTTTTCCTATACCGTTAATGACCAAACCCCTTGGTCGTAAATGTTAGGGAGAAATCAGAGAAAACCCTATGAAGAAACTTCTATGTGGGATAGTGGCAAAAAAACTTATTTTGTGATTATTCTTGCTAAAACAATGATTCCATTTTGACTTTTTCTGCAGGACCAAGTCACTACGCACGGCACCAAATATGCTTATTGTTAATTTAGCGTTCAGCGACATCTCCATGATCATAACAAACTTTCCACTCATGTTTGCGTCGACAATTTATGGTAAATGGCTGTTCGGCGACTTAGGTGAGAAATTTTGATATACCACACAAAAGAAAAAAAACATGAATCTAAAGATCACTTAATTTTCAAAGTGCAAATGCTTGAAGGAAATTGCGTACGTTTTCCTGGAAGCATTTTCGTGTCCTTTGGGATGGTTCAGTGGTAACAAAAAACATAGAGGCACTCAAAGGTTTGTACGGAATTATAGTGTAAATGGGATTTAGACCTAGACAGTAAATGCAAAACGCCAGAAATCATACCAAAGCTCTGAAACATATTACAAAAGTACTATTAAAAACTACCAGGATATTAGGAAGATACGGTTCACTGATCTTATCGCCATATTCTGAACAACCTTGGCCCTTTAACTTCAAAGCTTCGTACCGGTACATTTTCAGGTCACTCTTGTCAGTGAACGATTAATTTTTAAAACATTTCTTCGATTTCTGAAAATTGAATCATGTAAAAAATCAAATTTTTCATCTACGCAATGTTCAATGCACGGTACACTTTAATGCACGCTTAACATGTCGTGCGTAAGGGTGTATTCAGTTATATACCATGCATTTCCAATACTATTATTTAATTTCATTTCAGTTTGCGAGATCTACGCTTTCTTCGGAGGCCTGTTTGGATTCATGTCAATCGCTACAATGACGGCCATTGCGCTGGACAGGTAAAGAAAACGTTCCATACATTCTCTGCTTCATCATGATACCTGTAACATGCTTGAAACATAATACTAGAGACAAAATGATGTTCGTGTGCTCAAGTAGACTTCTGGGTGGCTCAGTGAATCGGTCAAATACTTATGATTCAGTGTCAAGACAAAAACACCAAATTAAAGACCTTCAGGTAGGGTATTATTGTCGAGTCTTTTCGTGAAATGAGATCCCCAAGTAGAATAAACGTCCATTTGACTCAATAACTGAAAAACATGATGTAATTAGTCTAACTTTTCAACCAAGACTGCCAGTGGGGATAGAGTGCATTACTCATAGAGCATAAACCACACCCAAAGAATGTGTCTAGCCGCTCCGCGGTGGTTTTCATGGGCGACCGTAACCAATCAATTACAACAAAGCCTCAGACTTTGGTCTTCTAAGTTTGTGCATTCACGTTTAATTAAGGACACTTTTTTCTGGTGTTATTTCTTATGCACTAACACTGAACGGAATATCCAATTTCAGAAGCCGAAGGAAGCGACAAAGTCGAAATTTGAGAAATAGTCCTAGACTGCAGCCAAGACTCAGTCACAACACTGCGTTTAGAATTTTGGGTTTGCTCCTTTACAGTTTACGTTCTCCTCGTCCAATAACTCTTCCAGCATTAGTGGACATGGGAAAATAACCTGAGAGTTTTGACAAACTTTATTATTAATCCGTATTAACGCCTCAGCAAAACACAACCCACACACTGCACCACCCCTTCCACAACTAATAACCAGTCTGGTTCTCTATGTATAATACCTACAGGCATGCTATTCTTTTCAACAGACACTATGTGATTTGCCATTCCATGGAGGCTATGCGCACAGTTACCAGACGAAAAGCCGCCTATAAAATCCTGCTTGTCTGGATATACAGCTCTATCTGGTCACTGCTTCCCTTCTTTGGTTTTGGGGCCTACGTTCTAGAAGGCTATGGTGTCAGTTGCACTTTCGAATACCTCGACCTATCGCTCAAGAATAGGCTGTACGTTGGTACGATCTTCACGTTCGGATTCCTGATTCCTCTTGGGGTGATCATAGCCTGCTATGTCCACATCGCATACACTTTACGACAGCATCGTCTGCAGCTTATGAGGGTGCAGAATGACTTGCGTAGTCCTGGCAACGATAAGGCGCAGGCTGCCGCTATACGCAAGGTCAAGGCGGAAAACGTGGAGTGGCAGATCGCCAAAGTGGGTATCATGTTAACCATTCTATTCTGCGCTTCCTGGATGCCCTACGCATCTGTAGCGTTTATTGGGGAGTTCATTGATGCCTCAAAGGTCACCCCGATGGTCCAAGTCATTCCGGTCGTGTTAGCCAAGAGTTCCGCCAGTTGGAACCCCCTTGTCTACGCCATCTCCCACCAGCGGTTCAAAGAAGCCCTTCGCGATCACTTCTTCGTCTACTGTTGCGGGGAATCACAGAGCCGCCGACAACGCCACTCTACCACACGGTCCATGTCCAGCGAGAATCGTAACACCGACTCGAGAGCTACTAGTGTTCGGTCTGTCATCTCGGAGGCAGACAAGCGAGACAGGACCGGTACGGTTATGTCTACCGTCTCGACCAAGACTGATGAGATCGAAATGGAAAGCGGGGTACAAAAGCCGACTAGGAGTTCCCTGAAAGGGGGACGCGAAAGAGCCAACAAAAACAGCAACAACAACGGCAACCAGTCAGCTAGCGAGCAGAGGCGACGGTCATTCCCCGATACCTCCTCAACAACTGTAGACTCCGGCAACGTCAACTTGGTGATGAAATCGAGAGATGGGGTTAAAATACAAGAACATTATGCAGCATATGATAATCCAGCAGCATCGGTTAGCGATCGAGAAGAACTCACTAAACTTTAAACAGAAAGCAGGTCAAGAACATAATTGGTCAAAAGTCTATTCCGGTACGCTCACACGGAAAGTTGGTGTTGGACAAGACAATAGTTGATATCTGCCAGCAAACGGTCAATGTCTGTCATGGAATTACATGTATGCCACACGATATTGTCTAAATATTTTGTCAAATGTTACTTAATGTTCATGCAGTGACACGCGTTGTTGATTATTCATATTTTGCCACACGTCCTGGATATACTGACGCGTTACTGAGTAAAGTCGTTTCAAAAACTTGTTTTTTAAATTAATTGATTGAGGTGCGGTTGTCGTATTGGGCAACACAATACTTTTTTGAACTATGAACCGGTTTTTAGATTAATTGATTAGAGTACAATAGTCGTATTCGGTAACATAACACTTTTAACCGGTTCAGTTCAATCCACGTGTAATGTTCACAACCGGGCTTAATTTTTACTAAAGGTATAACTGTTATGTTTATGAAATCCTTATTTAAAGGTATGTTTTACTTTAAATTCTTCTAATGAAATGTATGTGTTGACGATAACTTGTATCAATTCCATGAGTTAAGTGTGAAAAGATTAAATACGATATTACAACTTGTATCTTAAAAAACTACGTTAACTGGTATTATTCAACAATTAAAAGAGGCGAATTCATTCAGTTTAAAGTACTGTCCATTTCAACCGAAGACCTGGATTGGGGAAAATCCTCTTTCCCCCCCCCAAAAAAAAAAATTAAAAGCGTGTTTGTTGTTACCAAAAAATATTACATCTTGCAGGTTGTTGCAAATTACAATTACATCACCGCCTATGTAACATAAAGGACAATGACACAGCAATCCCATGTCGCTTAGATTCAAAACCACAACTCACAGAGTGTAGGTAATTCAATTTTTATGTAAACATTAAAACATTAACTTGTATACTGGATCACATATAAGTTGGTCAAAGCTGAGTATATAGGTATATGAAGTTTATTGATAGAAAATGTCACTGTATAGCAGTAGAAATATTATAACTTTAATTTGACATTGGTAATATTACCTAAGTGTTATTTTACTTTAAAGGAGGCTTTAAACGTGAAAATACTGTTAAAATTGTAATATTATACATGTAGATATTTATTTTCGCACCATGGTATATTTTATCTAAGATATCACACAAACAGAGAAACTATGTATTAGTTACACAAAAGTATAGTGCACGACATTGGCCAAAAAATACATTTTTGATTGTACTTTGTAAATAACGCACTTCATCGCAAATGATAACTATATGGCATATTCATGCGAACCATTCAGTTCTGTACTTTGCTCTGTTCTTACAGTGCTCTCACAGAAACTTCGCGCAAAAACAGAATTCTAAGATCACGATTTATGCAAGCGCTTAAGTTAAATTGATTGGCTATAGCCTAGGCCTAAGCCGTAAAATACAGTATCTTTTTTCAGCTTATCCTTACAGTGAATCCACTGATACACAACAGTAGTCCAAATCATTACAAACTTGTCTCCGGTGAGTACCTGCCTTACAAACTTGTCTCCAGTGAATACCTGCCTTACGACTAATTTACCTGGGGCACTGAGCCAGTTAAACAGCGTATGCCCATTACAAGGCTATTCCAGAACAGCTACACGCGCGCGATAGTCTGTCTTTTCAGCGCAGCCCATAGATGTAGAAACAGAACAACTCTAGTATCTAGAAAATATGGAAGGGCTGCGTAGCACCGTTATCAGAATATCGACGAATATGATATCAAATCAGTGCTCTGAAACGACAATCACATATTTCAGAGCGCTGATTTGATATTATACTCTCGTCGATAAATCTGGTATCTATCCGGTTCGTAACGTCACTTCAGTTTAAACCACGCCCACTGCACACGTGCACTGCACAAAGGGTTACATGCATTGATCGCCGTTTACACGGAGCCATGGAACCGTAAGTTAACGCACGACTTCAGCGATCGTCCAATGGGAGCCTGCAAATCGTGGCGCGTCCGCCTTTGTGACGAAGTCACTTACGAACCGGATCGATGGCGCAGCCATACGCTAGCTCACGCACGCGTCTTGTTCAGGAGAGACCTTGGCTCTTCGAAATACTGGATTGGCTCATTCACAATGCCTTGAAAAGATGTAGCTTAATACACTCAAATGCAACAATAACGAATGTATACGCCGTGAACTAAAGAAATTGATAATACTACCATTGTCACCTGTCAGTCACATGATATCCTTTTCCCCAAACAAGGTCAGCTCAACTCAGTTTTAGAAGGTTCAAGATGACATAGAACGATGGATTAGCCTTAATATTGCACATAGTCCTGAATAAATACTGAAAAAGTTTACTAGTGTTTCCTTTCATCTGTTCCCCTTGTTTCGGAATACACCGGTATCATCAGGTCCGGTTTAGACGGGTTTTATTTGAAATTTTGGCAGCAATGAAATCTAGTCGCTTTTTTCTATGGATATCTGTCGTCTAAAATTTAATGTGCATGTTAATTACCATTATTCTGTGAGTCGTGCGTATTACAAGGTGAATTCCCGGTTTTTGTTTTTTCCATATTGTCCCAACATCAACCTGCACCAGTTTTTTCTTCTTCTTCTTCGTTTTCTAACAATTCAAGAAGCAACTGTGTTATACCCAGCAAGAAATGAGACCGAGGGGTACCCCCCCAACATGTCCAATCCCTATACACATTCCAGACTATTGTTACTTAACACATCCCCCCTAGATGTCTGAAAGAAATTCCCCAGATTCCTGCAAGACAATGACCAACACAAAGCAGGGGGTTCTCTCCGTCTCATACCTTGCTGCATATGAACTGTGTACGAGTCGTTTTCAATTTTTTTTCAACCTAAAGATCTTGTTCGGGGCGACATAACATTCTCCGTGCGAAGCCTAAACCCCTTGCCAGACTTGTTTTCTGCACCTGTGCCTAAAGTCTCTATACAGAATCACTTTACTGTGCACTGGCCAGCCAATATCTTCGAAAAATGTGATGAACCTGGGCCCATTACGACGTAAGTTCTTCTTTCAACGATGTGCAACACAAGTACTCGCTGATGCAGTTGAAGTCGCTGCACTACGGAAATCACTTTAGTCTTTAAAGCAACGATCTTACTGTACACGTATACTTCGATAGTGAATGAAGCATCTCCAGTCTATTTCTTCAAGATAAAACACATCGTCCGACGACACACCTGTTCCTCACAAACCGCACAAAAGTGTGCAGGACTGATACCATTGCTATCTTCAGTAAGAATCCTGATAATACACCAGCCCAAAGTGTACCCCTTACGTCCTATTATGTAAAAGCTAATCAACAGAAACGTCCTGACAACTTCTTGGCCAGCAATAGTGCGCAGTTCTTCCGGAACTAACAACTTCTGCGCTGTCACATTCAAGAGTCACCGTCCGACGTTCACTTCTTGAGGTGTTGAGTTGTATGCTAAAGAACCAGGATTTATGCCACTGCAAGTTTTCACCGATACAAACAGCAAAGAATCACCCTCCCCCCATAAAAAAAATCGAAAAAAAATTATCAGAGAAAAGACTATTTAAAGCAACGGGGACTATTACAGTGCAATGGTTAATAACACACTCTGAGCAGGTGTTAAATTCAACAGATAAGGAACTCATCTTATGCATCAAAATGGATGAAAGTCTTTGGATGCCTAGTCCAATAAGCAGCAGGTGCAAATATTACATCTCACCTGATTGAAATCAATAGGTTAGCTTTAATTCAAGGCATTCAAAAAGACGGTCAACCTACAGACTATACTGATCTTCACACGGAACCTAAGTCAACAAACGCTACCCTACGTGATCTAATAATCCCATTCTATGAAGAGGCAAGAGTTGCTGTGAGCATGCTGAGGGATATCACTGAGCTTTTTTGACGTCCTCTTATGATTCGAGAGCAACCTTGCCCCTCCCTAAAGAAAAAATGATAACAGGGGAAGAGGATGAAAAGATGAAAGATGAAAAAGTTACTCAAAACTTAAAAAAACAAATGGTTCCTCCAATTTGACTTACGGTCTCTAATGTTAATGTAATTTGGCTGTGTACGACAAGCAGGAACTAGAAATAAATGATGAAACCCCAAGAGCATGCAGCTGTATGATTTGGTTGACAATTTCATCTAACTCGCATTCTAAATACCTTCTAGCTTTCTCACCTGCTTGTAGTCGTCTAACTCACGGCCCAGGGGGTTATGGATGGTGAGAAATAGAATCGTCCGGCGAGCAAGACTGAGGTGCGAATGAAAACTATCACAGCTTGGGTCATAATATACGGGCAAGCTCGATAACATAATTTACCAAACATCCAATGATTTGGACGGTCTCATCGACCATTTGGACCTGACGGGCATGGTCGCGCTGCTGGTTCTTAACAACCGTTTCATTTCTCGGTACTGAGAGAAGCATTCACATTAATATTGTACAAAATGTCATTGACCACGAACGACGCGAGAGCTGCAACTAACGGCAAAATGCAACGATGAGATTTGATTACATAGTTGACTGGGACATTGAAGTGTAACTACATTGCGCAAAAACATTGTTAAAAAGCAATTACAGTCGAAAGAACATTCGCTCCCAAATTTGCCGCTCCTGATATGTTTCATTTTGATACAGTGAAGTGATGAATATATCTACCCCTCCCCCAAATATTCCAGTTCCGGACTCACCTACATTTCAGCAAAGCCTTGCAGATTCAAGGCCATATTTAACGTTAAGGAGTGCAAAAACGTCATGGCCCACATATCAAGTCAGACAAAAATAGGAAAACACCATCAACAGAGGAGTAAACAAAGAGTCATTGATACCATTTTTATTACGATATAACAACAGTGTACTGACAATTAAGAACAATACGTCAGCAAACAGAAAGTTTGAAAATTGTTTGGAAATACGTGTAATAGTGGTCAGGTTTTAGAGAACTTAAACATCGCAGTCACCTTACGCTACACTTTAATGATTTTGAGGGAAACTCATAAAAATTTACTGTGATCAAGCCGAACCCCTCTACCGACTGCATTCAAGCACGCCGTATATAGAAGGAAGATTCATTTAAGAATTAAAGTTAAATTGGGAAAAATTCCCTCTAACAAAAGCTGCCCGGCATGATCCAAAGGAGGGCCGGATATACATTGTAATTACTGTGGGCAAAGACGGATCCAGATCCAAGTGTGTGTGTGGGGCGGCAAAATATTTGGAATTGTTTTCATGTTACCCGAGGCATGGGCTACATTTGGGGAATATGTGTACGCTTTTTGAAAGAAGGGTAATGAAATAGAGCCAACAAAATCGCTTTTTCTCTCTTTATTAAAAAATGCTCCTGGAAGGTACGTACAACAAGGGCGATTCACAATGGAGCGTCTCCAAGAGTTATTGACGTGTTGGCCGCAACGCGCAAAATAGGTCGACTGGTACAAGCCGAGTTCAGGAGGCTTGTTCCTGTATTCTCACGAACAGCTCGATTTGTTGTTCGTGGGTCGGCCGCTCGAACGCCGGGAACAACCGGTTATTGCTGACAGTTAATGGCAAGTAACATGCAGCATGGCGGCGCCCATGTATGTTATTCGAGAGTTAATGTTTGGATAACTGGGCTGAAGTCTTTTCTATTTAACAGGAACATTCATTTTTGTGTTATGGAAAATAATTAATGTTAATTTTGCAAAAGTTCCTATACTGCCTCCGGCTTTGTAAACTGTGTTCCTGTAAAACCCTGACAAAATGTTGTCATCTCTTTTTCAAAAGGTATAAATATTAAAAATTACATATCAATACACAGGAATCGTCAATCAAACGCATAAAATTCTAAAAAAAAAAATACAAAATACATGTACTTTACACCGAATTTGAAATTTCTTTAAAACTCTGGAAAAATTAAACTGCCTTTCCAAAACCCTAAATTAATACCGAATCCTGCTTGAAGACAATGGTTTGAGATAAGTTTCACACCAATCCCCTTTTAAAGACGACAGAAATAGAAGTTATCTGCTGAAAGGCTCATTAAAACGTTTAATAGCCGGGCCAGTGAAAAATGAAGGATATCGATTTGTGTGTGGCGACTACTGGTCTCTGTCTTCCACTTCGTGGAATGAAATTATCCATTAAACAGGCGTAGAGAGGATGATCAGCATCTCTCCAAACTATATTAAATTTGTCACTAAACTGCTGACTGTAGCCAGTGTCTACCGGTGATAGATATTGCTGATGGAATCGTCAATAAGCTTCTTTACTTTCTTGTCGATATTTCCAGTCCAGCATGCCAGACAGTAGGTCCCACACATTACAAATAACTGAATGGTAATATTAATTTGATTTCTCTCCTCACATCAAACGAATTCAATTTCCTCAGCCAGTACATTCTCGAGTTCAATCTTTTTTTCTATATGATTTACATGGCTACTCCAATCTAACCTGTCATCGAACATAAGCCCAAGATATTTATGTCCAGCAATACGTTCAATTTCCTTACGGAGGTCAACCAAAATTTCTTTCATTTTGGACAAATTCAGTTCCACAAAATCTAGTTTACAGTATGTTACAGTAATGTTATTTGGTTCAAGTAGGCAGACTCATCATTATTTTGCATAAGACCAACGAGAGCGATGTCATCTGCATATTTTACAAAGGGAAAACCATGGTCAGTAGGCCAAATATCAGCTGTGTACACCGTTAACAAAAACGGACCTAAAGCAGTACCTTAAGGAGCTAGAAATGATAACATCAGAATGCTTTGAATCACTGAGACGAACAAACTGTGAACGGAAAGTGAGACAATTCAAAATGAATTTGATAATAAGGAAGAGTTGACATGTCAAGAAGTTTTCTAACCAGGATATGATGAGGTTGCACTGTATTAAAAACAGATGAAAAATAAAAAAAAAAACATTACGCGAGATGAGCTTCCAAATTTGGTACATTCTAAATGAGAGTAAAGTTTATCTAAGCAAAACAAAATGGCATCCTCTGTGCTGCGACCCACATGTATATGCAAATTGCAATAGATCAACAAAACCAGCAACCTGTGGTTCCAAATAATCTACAACCAAACGCTCACATAGGCCTATCTTCATTACCACTGAGGCCAATTGGTAATTGATATGATTTGTTCTGCTTGGAGTAGCAACTCGTCACGCGTACACCACTCCAAACTTGCTGCATATTATTACATGTACTAAGAAAGTGGTCTTCAACCTTTTCTTTGTAAGCTTTTTTTCGTTACGTATAACACGTTTCAGTTCTGTCTGTACTTCCTTCAGCTCAGTTTTACGTCCCTTTATGAAGAGCCACTTCTTCTTGTTAATGACATCCTTAACAGTTTCAGTAATCCAAGGTCTGCTGTCAAGTTGGAGATATTTTAACTCTTCTGTTTCTGGTTGGAATGAAGATGTCCTCACCAAACTGAATGTAACAGCTCACTGTGTCCTTAAGTTCATGAATGTCCTGTGCAGAATGAATCCAAACTTAAGAGGCAGCCCAGAACTGGCCAGACCGCTACTTAAATTTGACGACAAGTGGTTTTTCCGGCTGCACAATAGGTCAAACTTACGACGCAAAAGCACCAGATTGTGATTAGCAGATCCCAGGCTAAGAAGCTTTATGTATCTATAACTGTATGAATAACAAAGATCCAGGGAAGCATCTCCTCGAGTCGTGCAATTAACATGTTGGTAATTTTGAGGGCCAGTCCTTTCCAACTTGCCGTGGTTAAAATTTCCGTCCACAACAATGAATCCGTCCGGATGTTTTACCTCCAGATTTTGAAGAACTGCCTTCAATTCCTCACTGCCGGTGTTCTACAACTGATTTATCCGGGATATAAATAGTACAGCACAATACAAGTCAGAAGTCTCGTGGCCGTAAGGCCGTAAAGAGGTGACCCAACTTTCCAGGTTTAGACTACAGAAATGCACCTCAATGTGTGCATTATTTGGATGGCACCAACGATTACTGTTTTTGTCAAGAACAGCTGATTTCTAAGGTTTCTAAAACAGCTTTCCTTGACGAAGTCAAACGATTTCTTGCCTTAATTTCATGCCTGGCTGAGAGGCATTTAATCAACTACAAATACATCTGAAAGCATGGTAACATATCGATTGCAGTATCCCTCGGGCCAAACGGAAAATACACCGGTCGTGACTCGTTAGGCAGTCGGGACAAACGTGTACACCCTACATAAGTATCATGAAGTGCTCGTTCTGTATTACGGCCGCTGTGTGTAGGATTTTTAAGACGTTTAGAGTGTTGTCACGAGCTTATTAAAGCTGTGAGAATGCACATGTATACACCAGAATACGCTTAAAAATACAGTCAGCATTACTTTTCCCCCATGGGGAAATTGACATTTTCAAGTATACTTTACACGTACATGTGTCGCTAAGAAAAAACATGTTTTAAGAACCATCAACAGGAGCCAGTGAACCACAATTACCCGATGATATAGCAGATCGGGGAGGCGAAGGCTGGTTTTCACATTAGCGTAAACTATCATCTACTATATCTTGTTTGTCGGTTTGTGGACATCACATGCAGCACAGCATGTGAAGGGCACAGTTATTCCATCTCATTACCCGTCGTCAACATGGTTGTAAATTAACAACTGTCAAAAAGGTCTGATCGGTATCTGCATTTCATCCCCTTAATTAGAAGTCTGAAAATGACAGTAACTGTTAACATCAACACAGAAACAGCACTCCAATAGCCAAGACAAGTCTAGACTATTCTGAATAGGTCCTAATAAGTATAGACTAATTTTTTTTTAACAATCGGAGTGTACCAATAAATGCAAATCAAGCCTGCTGCATAGTCCTTTGTACATGTACCTACATTTCCTGGCAGGCAAACAGTTTATTTTCATTGATACCACCACTTCAGAAAGACTACGACATGCAGGCTTATTCTGAAATGGAATTATACCCGTAGCAACTAAAGAACTATATCAGTAGCAACGAAAGCATAGGCCTGCATTTCGGCTCATAGCGAACACTGCTTAATGAATGGATTCAAACGTCACTATTCCGCTTGGAATTCTTGGATCAAATTTGATGAATGTAAATTCTGGTTTGGTGTTTCATTATCGATTTTTAGGTTACATTTCGCAGAATCTGTGGGGATGTGTTATATAACAAATATTGAATGCTTTACATCGCGGTACTATACCACTCAAAGCAGTCAATATTTGTATATTGTTTTAACTACCCCACTGGCGGATCTATGGGTGAAGTTACCAAAAAGCGACAAATTAAAGGAGAACCAACATCAGATGCCAATGTCTCCCCCCTAATCACACCTCGATAGCAGGTCCCCTCTGCAGCCAGCTGCGTACAAGTACGCTTGGATCCACCCTGCTGTCTTTTGTGGAACACATGTACACGTACAGTCCGAGTTCTCATATTTCCGAAAAGCTAAGGACAACATGACGAAACTACTCTATAAAGAATTTAAACATGTACACGCATATGCAGTACGTATTTTGAGTAACGTTTATTTCATGGACCATTTATAACTTATGCAATCAACCAATGCTGGTGTTCAATCATTCAGCATGAGTACATGTATGTCAAATTCGACTCAAAAGTCTAAGACACATAGGGAACAGGGAGTACATCTTATCCCCTTGATGCCAAATGACGTGTAAACCCACACAATTTCCCTTCTTTGTTCCACGAAGGACGTGTACACTCATTTAAGACTTCTTTCATTTTTGCGGTTGACGAATTAATGCATCGTGCTTGGTTGCGTCATAATTTTAAATTGCAATTTCGAAGACTTTGCAGGAAAAAAGTTGCCTTCCGAAGCTTTCTCAGGTAAGAAAATCTGACGTTAACCAGCTATAGACATAGCTACTTATCGCAAGATAAACTATTCATCTTCTCAGAAAAGATTTGGATTACACCGTCAGGTGGATCACTGAATTTAAAAAACTTAACGAATTAAAAACAACAAAGCATGTAAAACTAAAGCACAGTGAGGAATTAAGATTCCTTAGCAATCATAAAGTAGAGGCAAATATGCCCGTCCTGCTCTGAACGGTTGTTACAAGAAATTACCTTAAACAGCAAGCACCTGTTCCTAATCACACTTCCATGATGAAACAGGTGAATATGAGAGGTAAACAACATACACAAGTACATGTACTTCTAACCTTTCTTCAGTGGTTTGAAAATGTGGCACATGTATTTGCTCATGGTTTGTAAATAGGTCCAGATAACCCAAGCTCAAACAGACCAAGGAAGGATTGTTGACACAAAACTCATATGCTCGCCCCTCCAAAAGGAAATTAAATTCTTCTGACAACTCATCAATCAAATTACATGTGACACAAACATCATTCAGCAGGTGTCTTCACTTGTGTTTCTCTAATCCAGATATGTCAAGATTCTTCAAAGCTCTTTCTGCAGGTGTTGGGCGTTCCAGTTTTTTCTTGCGAATCTGATATCAAAACACTGCAAATCAAATGACAATTAAATTTGTCCTCCTTTTAGCGGGTATGATGTTTCTTTGAGTCTGCATTGGATGGATGCCACAATGAAGTGTCTGTTGCACATGTACATGAAGAAGGCCTGGGATAGAGCGGCATGTGTGGATCAGTCTACATTCATTCACAAACTTTGCACACTCCATGTTTTCAGTTTGTCTTTGTTCTGCCATAAACACCAAGCTGATGCCAAACCCAGTCCAATCACTCCACCCTTGGCCATTTTCTTTATTCCAGCTTTGGAAGAAAAAAAACAAGAGACAAGAAATACCGATAAAAGAGCTGACAGTGGATAGGTCAGTATGGATGAATGATTTTATTCTCTCACAGATGAGAAAGGGAAAAAGTCTTCAACACTTTGAGGTGGGGAATGAGGTTTAAGGGATGGGATAGGTATTTAGGAAGTGAGGCAAAGAAGTTGGAATGGGAGAGGGGCAAAGTATATCCACTACGAGCCAAACTTGAAGAATAACAGAAGTAGAAAGTTAATATATCCCAAGGTACGGTATAGATTGTACCTGATGATTTGTATAGAAGTCCTGTTGCTGTTGCAGCCCCTACTGTATTGAGTTCATCCTCTGTTGCCCTTCCCCAAGACAGACCAAGGCCTAATACACTGTACATCAGAGCTGCAAGAAGAAACATTTCATGATATTTTAGCATATTTGCTTTCATTAAATGTTATTGTGATCGTGTTCTAACAAGTAATTTGTTACTTACATGTAAAAAATGATATACTCTGTTTATTTCTGCTTGGCAAGATTTACACTTTGACCCTGGGCATCACCAGAGCAGGGTCATTCATGGCTCGGGAACACTCATCAAAAACAGACTGACCAAAAGAAGAAAGTGGAGAGTGATCAATTCAAGGAAATTTTCAACAGAATTGGCAATGTCCATCCCCTTTTATCTCCTTTTTTTTCTGTTTCTCTTTTAATCCCACCCCTTTTTCTGCGACGTCCTTTACTGTGACTTTCCTATGACCCTTCCCTGTGGATCATATAGCCATCCACATGTACATGTATATGAACATTTTAAGGAACGGATTTTGACCAATTTGGAATATGGTAAAATAGGGACATGTATAAAAGTAGCACAAAAAAGTGGTGATATAGTGTACGGTACAGTATTAGACTGCACTCACATACATACAGGGCATGTCCATTTACATGCATCTTCAGGCAAACTTGAATTCTCAATGCTGATTGGTCGATCCATGGCAACAAACCGTGTGACATATTGTTGCAGGGTCAATGGATGTCAAACCCCTCGTGATGCACTATTCTATGGTAACTCCGCGCACTGCGCTGTTTTCCCACAAAAAGCAAAATGCAGAGCTGCAACGTTTACCATAAATTTAAAACTGGCACATATGGCCCCACTGATCTCCACTATAACAGAGATCAATGATAGGCCCATACATGTGTAACATCTTCACTGCGCGTTATGTTTGCTTGAATGTATAAATTCATGATCACACTCGCATTCGTGGAACACTAGAGCCGAGTCAATTCGAATAATTCACTATCTGAATATTTGACCTTCAATTTCACTGAATATCCGAATATTCCATTGGCAGATATTGGCAGATTGTTGATGAACAAATCAAATACAGTACATGTATATACAAAATCAGTTACAATAACGCACACAATTGTACATTATGATTACTATAATAGCTTCTCAGGTCCAGGAGTATCTCATGCCACGATTTAGCAAGATGTAAGAGATAAGCAATACTTCTTGCTCTGTTGAAAATTTCTATTCCTTTTAAAACTTTTAATGAGTAATTCACATTTTGAATCATCGTAAGATTTTTGTTGCTTATTATCTGTATCTGCTTGATACAAGCCTCCATGATGCATTTTTTTCTCATTTGAAACAAAGGAAAAGTCTCCCTTTCTTTTTATGAATTTTACATTTGGATTTTCAAATTCACAAAAAAATATTCAAATTTTTGATAATCAATCGAATATTTGGCACAGCCCAGAATAGTATAGTGCATCTGTGTCCCGTTTACCAAATGAACATCGGCCTCGTGGTATGCGGAACACAAGACACACAACATTATTCCATGTTTCACTCGCACTCGTGTGATAACTACATGTAACAGTGTGTACTTAAAGAAGATCAGCAAATCAAACACATTCACATCATACTCATACATGTGCTGGACATGTACACAACATTTGGGTGAGAGTGTACATCTACATCTACATGTACGCAAGTGGCCCTGTGTCAGAAGACAAGCACCATTCAACACTTAACTTGATTTGCATCTTTAGATACCCGTACATATACCAGTATCGGCATATTGATAAAACTGTCATCAGCACTGACATGATTGATGACCAACTTGACAAGCAAAGTCAGCAATCTGCTGATGTTTATAACAGGCAAGCAGTATCTCCATTTCATACATTATTGATGAGTATATATGACCAGGCTTGAGAGAAGTCCTAAGAATAAATCAGTGAAAAAAGTAAATTGGGAGGCAATGGCCACAGTTTCTAGAAAAGTCTTGGTAAATGTAGACATGTACATATCTGTATTATTCACTTAAAGTGGTATGGTGTACCAGCAGACGACTTTTCTTGTTGAATCATTTGTCTAGTACCACCATGGTAATACCAGCACGTAATCTATCACTTAACCCTAATCCCCTGGGGTGTGCATAAAAATCATACGGAAATTAGAGGATTCAGGACAGCTACGGCTGAGGAATCTTATTTGTTGCCTCTGCGTGAGAATTACCGCTACTGTATGTGTAGGAGTTGAGGGGGTAGGGGTGTTCAAAATGAAAAAACTTGGGGGAAGAAAAACTTGAAAAATGAGAAAAGGGAGTAAAAATCATCAATTTCCTTGGAATTACCTTGGACACCCATCCCCTCCATCACTGATGGTTTGCCAGTTTGCTGTTGATGAGTGTCCCTCCCCCAAACATCCTGGCAACACCAATGATTGTTTATCACTTCTCTGAATCAACTTCTTTTCCCTCAATGAATAAATCGTAAACAAGGCTTTTTAACTTGAACATTTGCCTCTCATCAATCTCCCAGTGGAGGAAGAAAATGAACCAATCAACTAGAACAGGAAAAGTACTGTCTAGATCTTATCACAAGAGCTTCTTAAGATTAAGGTTAACTCTGGGACATTTACCTGTGATCTCAAGTGTATACATGTATACACATTTTACTAGCAATTATTAAAGCTCTCTGCCCTTTCCAAACTTATATCTTTCTTACCTCAATCAATCTACATTTATTTTCCAGTCAGTCAAACCACTTTATAATGACCTTATGAAGATACTTGGCCTGTTATTCATGAAGCAAGTGAACTGCCCAAGAGGTCTTTCTCTTCTGACCATTTGTTCCTTTGGGTAAATCACTTACTGGTATCCTCTGACTAATAAATTCTACCTTGAGGATATGGAAGTTCATACATGTATGTATACACACACTGAGTGAACTTTATATCAGACTTTTACACATGTATAAATAATAGCTTTTTTCTGTCTTAGAACTGGGAATAATCATACATGAACAAGAAATAAATCATAATACTAAAAAAAAGTTCATGCACATACATGTACATGTATGTAGCATCAGTTGCTTGCCACAAAGTAAATATAATTTTGTGCCCTGGTAAAAAAAATCCAAAATTCATAAGAACTTGAAATGAATTTTCAAGACTAATTAACTCCCCAAATCCTGAATACTATTTCCATGCAAGTTTTCACATACCCCGGGGATTTCAGGAAAAAGGAATATCTTACCATGATTGAATTGCACACGTGAAGCAAATTTGATACAATCAGATGTAAGCTGCAAATTATCAATACATGTTTATGCATAGTTCTAGAAACAAGGACAACCCTAGATACAATAATTTCTAGCCGATTTCTTTTTCAGCGCAGAATATTTTACTGGGCTCATACTGATTTGCAAAGAGGGAAAATCTTGCTTATTATGCTCTTTTTCCTCAGCAAAACCTTCAATGTTGCTCTGTGTGGTACCTCTTATGACTGACATCAACTCAACCATCTCAAAGAAACCAGACTCAATTCCCCAACATACAACAGAAAGAGCACCAGCTTAAGTTGTAAATCGCATTACTCATTCCATTTCATGGTTTCACTCCAGGCAGCATGCCTTTATGACCATGATGCATCATGCATGATGAGACATTTAACCTCTTGGGATAATGTTGAGGTACATGTATGAAGTGGGATCGTGTTTTAGATGTAAAAAACAGAGAGGGTGCCAATGTACATGTGCACACCAAACTAAAACCAAATAAGAAACAGAGAAGGTGTCAACTAAAACCAAATAAGAAACAGTGAGGGTGTCAAGTAATACCAAATAAAAACAGAGAGGGTGTCATTTTACATTTACATGAACATGTACCAATCTGCAGCAGGTTTAGACACATCTGATCAAATGTAATCATACAACACACCCTTCTTGTACTCAGACTAAGGGATTTATTTCTTTTGTATCTTGGGTACTGATTGCAGAGAGGAAATGTAGCAAGAATGATACGTTTCTGAAGTGGAAGCTGGAGAACAGAAAAGTAGGTGGGAAACCCACATAATTGAGAAGAAACTTGGAAACACCAACGACATGTAGGTTTCTATTTTGACAATCAAAAGTAAGTCAATAGCTGCAGAGACTGAAGAATGTACGTTTATAAAAACTAATGATGCCAACCTGACAGTTTTGTTGTCTAATGAAAGTTTTCTCTGAGCACCATAAAAAATACATACATGAATGTACCAGTACCCTAATAGCATTTATACCAGCCAGCCATTCTCACAGGAACAGTTAAACCAGTTGCCCAATTGAAACAATCACTCATTAGTCTCTTTTTGTTTTGCAGCTGAAGAATACTTACACATACACAGAAATCCAAACTCAAGCTTCATTTAACAATATCAAGATACCAAATGCATATACATGCTTGTTATGAGCCTCGACTCAAGCTGGGCCAAGAGAGAGTGCAACTCTCTCACCAAAGGAGGCTCCTCTGGTCAGGACTGAACTTTGCTAGTCCACGAACGACTAGGAAATGCATGAATTACGGTTGCATTGCTACTAACAAAATGAACACACCCAACCAATGTGTCTCTTTTCAACCGATGAGGGGCATTTCTGCTCAAGGCGGATACCAGGTACTTATAATTTTACATACCATCAACACAACCCAATCTACATCTGGAGATTTCATTGCTCAGCCAAAGTTATACACAATACATATTTTCCTGTGACACAGTTTACATACATGTATGTACACTGAGGAATGGATTCTTTCCTTGTGTTTTCAAAAGACACACTTTTGTACCAGTTGCTTTAAGTTTAAGCATTAATTGATGTCAAAATCCAAGAGTGGTCCTAAGGGAAAAAAATACATGTAAATGAAGAACACATAGACACACAAAAAACCTAAACTTAGCAAGTTAGCATAGCTTTTACTATGGTATCAACATATCAAGTTGTGCAGGTACATGTAAATGTACATGCACCGGTAGTTAGCAATGATGATGAGTAACTATGACTCTTTGCCAAAAACTGGTTTTTAATTGCACTGTAAATACAGTATAAAGTTACCATATATTGTTTTATAGTCTACAAAAATTGATAATGTTCACTGTGAGCTGCCTAACCACATCAGAATTGACAAATTTTTCTGAAGAAAGTTATGCAGACATCTAGTCACTTTACAATTAATTTTCAATGACTTTTCTGTTCCACAAATCCCACAATAATTCTAAGTAGTATGAGTCATGCAAGATGGCCCTCTCTCTAGTGGTGACTATGTGTACATTTAATCTAAAAGCAATCCAATGTTTTGACAGGACCTATCACCAGTACATCATCAGTACCAGCTGGTAATCATGATATTGGCTATTAGCATGTTGATGACAAACACTTGAGCTTTACTGGAAGATGTCTACAGACAAGTGCTAGAATCCTCACATTACATGTGTACACAACTCCTATATAATGAGGTGGGTGGCCAGTGGTGCTGGAGAAGTGAATGCGTGTCCTAGCTGTAAACTAATGGGTTTAGAGAAACTTACATGTGCCGGTATCATACAGGGGACAGCATCAACATAAAAATATGGTAAAGACATAAACTTCAGAGGCCATTCTTTTTACAAAGGTGAACATGAGCATGTACGTTGAACATGATCATCACCCAGGCAAAGAACATCTTGATACATGTTGAACACGTACACATGTGCACGTGTACTGGTACATGTATGTAACTGTCTGTGTACACTTCATTTCAACTCTACATACATGTGCATACATGTGCATACATGTAGCATACATGTGCATACATGTAACAGTATGTTGTTTGAAATAAGATGTACATGTCCGTGGACATGTAGGTTAACCTACTGTATTTCACAAACAGACTTTACTATTTAGAAACTGCAACTATTTTAAACAAGCTGTTGGGCTTACCGATAACACCAATGCTGTTAGCAGAGGAAGCGCCTTGTTTCGTGACTAAATTCAGCATCCTGAATAAAAAACAAAACAAAATCCAACAAAGGAAATTCCACTCTCCATATATTAAATTATCAAATTACATTGTATTTCTATATGTCTAAGTACATGTAACTTTGTTATGTACATGTAACAGTTTCATCACATTCAAATGGTATATTTATTGTATTTTGGACAAACATTCACATGGTCAAGTAGATTTTTCATAAATGCTTGTCTGTAGAATTAGTGGTCATATGCCTGTATATGTAACTTTTGAAAAATAATGTCCATATACACATTCACTAAAATAGGCCAAAGAAATAATTTTAATTTGTACACCTAAACAGGTGATGTACTCTAAAATTAAACAACAAATATATTAGGGCCTGGCATAATGAATCTTTATGACAGATGGATAATTCCTGACAAGTTCAAAGCTTAAGCTAAAGTGAAAAACAATCTGCAGTTACAATTTCCTGTAGATGAGCAGAAGGACAGTAAACAAATTTGACTTCCATCTTTGCAGGCTAAGCAAAATTTGACAGGCAACTGATGTGATGGGTAACTACAATATTATTTGCTTTATGGAGAAAACTTTTCTGAGGCCAACGCATTTTAAGAATTTCGGACCTATTGAAAGTGTTAACAAAAGAATGACCTTTTCGGTTCAAACTTGCTCCCAAAAAGCAATACATATTAACTACATTTGATTTACCAAGTGCCCACACATTGACTATATTGACATTTTACGAAATGCCTAATCCATTTCAAATATTCAAAGATTTACTGATGCAACTTGAATCCTTAGTACAGGTACCTACATGTACTTGTACAGACTGACATTTAGACAAAATGCGGTTTTCAATGTTAATGAATTAGATGGCCAAAGAATAATTAACTTCTCTTGGTAAGATGACTGAATATAAATGGAAATGAGGTTTGTAATCCAGACGATTGTAAAAACACTTGTGACTTGAAGGGAGGAATTTGACAAACACAACACATAAGATTAACAGACAAACTGCTTCTCCTTGTATGTTTTAATGCTTAACATGTTTTCCATTTTAACATGTACTGTACATCAACTGGCACTTGTCTCTACAGTATTTTGTGTTTTGTGTTAATGTGCTGGTTGAATTCATTTCATTTTCTTTGTTGTTTGCACTACAAATCCCTTGTTATATAATTTGTTTGATCCTGACAATGCAAGATGCCAGTTGTTAATTGTTTAATTAATTGGAATGCAAGGTAATGCATTAAGGTAATGAATACAGACAAAAAAATCTTTTTAATTGTTTACATGTACATTAAAATTTTTAGACCTGAATTCAGAGTGCATATTATTCATTTGTTAGAGGGCATTATATTATAATTGTTCAAAAGTCGTTTAGACAAGAAAATCAAAATTTGAAAAAGCATGGACAATACAATTTTAACACTCATCAAGGAACTTACTGAGAGACTCGGACCTTCCCGCTCAATTCCTTTGTTTCCCTGGCAGAAATTCTTGTGCCATTCAGAGCGCCATATATCGCACCTACATGTACATGTAGCAAGAAATGAAATAATAGTAATGTCCACGTGGTACATGTACCAAAAGACCCTACAATGTATCCAAAAAGCTCTACCCACAATGCACATAGGCAGTTATTCACCTAAACCTTCCCAAGTCTGAGGATTTGAGAAATTGAAGATATGTTAAAAAGATGCATTAAGCCAAAGACCTAAGTAGCTTGTGCTTTTCATACTCAATGATGAGTAGGTCTATATGTACAGTATATTTAGGCCCAGAATACACTTGAAAGTATTTACGAGTGTTCTGCCTCTGGTAAAATTCACAATGCTTGAACATTGTGAGTCAGTGACAGGAATGGATTTTGAAGGATAGAGGCATTAGTGACCACCCCTGCTAGGAACACATGCAAGAAATAATGGAGGATTTTGGAGAACTAAGGTTGCATCAGTTGGAGGATTTTGCAGCACACAGGCTGCACCTTGTAGTAACAATGCCTAGGGAGTTAGGATAAGCAACCAAGCATACCGGTGCCATACATGGGTGTTGCACATCATGCATGCATGCTCTTGCAAACATGTACATGTCATGTACACTATCTTGTAAAAGCCAAACTTTAACTCAGCAGTTCTTCAGCCAGAAACTACATGTACATGAGTGTTGAATTCATCAAAAACATTTACAAATTACATCAAGGGTACATGTACCATGTGTAAGAACAATTCAATCTCAATGTAGTCAACTCCTCACACTGACAAAGTTGCGGGGATCACACTAATTACATACATACATGTACATGTAATAGTACTGTTCTTTGTTATAATCATGTGGTGCAGTGTTATTGCGATGCCAGACGGTGCCAGTCGGGAATCTCCACCACAGTGTTCTACTGTCCGGCACTAAGCTTGAAGAAACAGCCCACCAACCGGCACAAAAATCCTTTAAAATCCCAGAAAAAACATTAGTCACCTATGAAAATTTCCTATTTTTTACCTGGAAGAATTTAAAAAATTGAACTCTTAATCAATTTGGAAAGAAAAACTCCCTGAAAAAGCCATCTAGAGTCCCCTTAACGGGCCCCTGGATCCCCCAATGACCATGATGACCCCGAGACTCAGTTCGCCATTACCGAATTGTCCTATATAAAATATGGCAGGCTAGAACACTGCAACAACTTCAGGTACAGCTGGCAAAAATTTAAAAAACATATCAAAAACTTCTAAACCAGGTTTCAAGTTGACACCTAACAAAAGTTACAATGTACTTTATGTACATGTACAGGATGTAACACTGAAAGTGATTAACATTCAACATTTTAATCTCAACTTGAATCAGTTCAGCAGTATGGTCCATATTGAATTAATCCTTGACTTGAGAACAATGCAGCTGAACTTGTTACAGATAGTATTGGTCTCTTAAGAAAACCACACCAACACAAACATGAAAAATTGGATGCTTACGGGATTAAAACCCAATAGCATTAAGACCTTAAATCTTTGCTCAACTGGATGGCGACACTGGGTGGCATTTGATTTGCAGCAGGCAATGTGTAATAGATCTATACTGAACTTGTTTTTAACTTCGCGATAATGCATTCATACATTAAGTTGTTTATCACAGCCAAGAAAATCCCTCCCATCACATCATCCCTTGGGTACAGAGCTTGGGGTCAATACCAGTAAAATTCCTCCTGACACCTTTGATATTCAGCACACAAGCATACTTCCAGAGGGAGCCGATGTAACAAAGCAAAGCAAGTGATAAATGGTTTGTCTGCCCACATACAAGTACATGTACATGTATCTTATCCCCCAATCCATCTCCTTCAGTCTTTTGGAATAAGAAGAAGGATGGACGTAAAGCAGTGATTTTGTTCCAAGGAAGTGTTTTCCTGGCAAGTTGTATGTAAAGTTACAGTTAGCTTGGTTTGGAACAAATGTAAACAGATTCTTTTGTTGAAAGAGTTATGTGTGTATAAAGTGGACTTGAACTTTAGTTGAGAAATTGACTTTAAGATTCAAAGAACATGTAAATTTTATGTAGTTGTTACCTGCCATGACAGAACTTCCAATTTGTGAAAATGCTAACTCAAATCTTCCCCTAGCTCTAGCTTGGCCTGTTGGAACAATAAACTGTGGACCACCCTGAAACAATCAAGAAAAATAAATCAGTTGGAGTTATTGGTTGACACTTTGAAAAACAAAACATTTAGCATGTGCACATGTATACATACAACGTGTACAATTACACAGGCACAGGAAAGAATAAGGCAAATACTTTTATGCAGGAGAAAGTCGCCTCTTAACCCTAACTTCCCCTAAGCACACATAATTCATTCAACACCAGTAAACTGTGCGAGTTTGTAGCATTGGTACTGGTAGCTTACTATCTGGTGTTTAATTTTGCAAGAATGGGTAC